TAATATAACTATATATATATATATATATATATATATATATATATATATATATATATGCATTTTGAGACAGAGCTATTGAGTTTTACTGAACACGAGAGAGAGGACAGAAGCATGCATATGTATAAAAAATAAATTGAAATAATCTACGAATGGGACCTAAACGGTAAAACAGAAAAACAAGAAGAAGAGACAATACATATACATTGATTTTAATTTAATTTTAAAGTAATATATGAAAAGGCAGGAACGCAACACGTCGCAATCATTACAAATATTATTCTTTCGTTCTTCTAAAACTGACCTTACTGGCAGCACTGTAGATATTGACCGAATATGTGTCATTTTATTTATTGAGGAGCGAGAAAAAGAAAAGAAAATGTTAAATTAATGAAAATGAAAAGCTATTGGAATTAGTTGAAAATTTGATCCTAAAAAGAAGAGAGAACTATAGGTTCACACACAGGCAGGAAAGAAAAAGAGAAAAAGAAAGACATGGGCATGGAATTGAGAAAAGAGAAGTGGGAATCATGGAGAGGCATTTTGGGATCGATCGAAGTGGAGGAGTTGAGCAGTACATTTGGGGCAGTCTTCAACGTGTTTGGGCACCATGAAATACATGAGACAGCCCTTGCACCCAGCCACCACAAGAACATTCTGTCCTCCCTGATAGGATGAAGAAGGGCATGACTCGGACGAAGACTCTTCGCTGTCGTACCAGCTCTCTTCTTCTTCTTCTTCTTCTTCAGACTCATATTCCCTACTTACACTATACTCTGCCGCTGCCGCCCTTCTTGGATCCTCCTTTGCTTTCATCCCGTTCCTCCAGTTAATGTAATAAATTTCCCCCGTCTGTTAAATAATCCCAAGACCAACATAACACGGGTCATATATCTAAGGTTTTCAACTCACAAATGTTGCCTCTTCCCTAGCTAATAGTTGTGTGAAGATCCAGTTTCATGCAATAGAAAAGGGAAAAAAGAGAGAACCTTTAAATCCAGGCATTGTTCCCAATGATAAGGGAGTGAAATGTGGGAGTTGAGCTCTAAGGTAGTGTCGGAGTTGGAGATATGATGATTATTATTATCCGGGACATCGTCTGAGCTGGATGAGATTCCTATGCCTGCATCTGAGGCTGAGCCGTCTTCCCTCCTGTTCTCATGGTTGTTGTTGTTGTTTAAGGAACAGTTTTGAAGAGACCTCTCTAAGGAAGCAGTGATCGCCTCCATATTTCGATTGGAGCTGTCATTGTTTCCAACAACAAAACAATTTATGAAAACCACAAAGGAAAGCATATATAAATTTCTTATCTGATGCGCCGTTATTACCTGCGACTGCGACTGCGACCAAAATCAAATGCACACAACACCTACACCAAAACTAATTGTACTCAACAACGCACATACCCCCCAGAGAGAGATTTTGGAAGCAATAGAAATATGAGAAGGGAACGGAGATATTCACATTGTTCTTCATTTAAGGGTACACACAAATACATGTCACGCGCTCTCCATCTGCGCGTCTTCAACCATCATGTTAACCATGTGGGCTACCACCTGTCAGCTCCAGGGAACCACTCTGGGTTGCATTTTGTCTCGCTTCGCTGCTTTAGCTGCAAACCTCACGCGCTTTTCCAGGCCTCAAAATAACATTATAAATATTTATATACGTATTAAACTAACACTACCATTATTGTTCAACGACACATCCTTATTTATTTTAATTCTAACTACTTATATTATGTAATTTATTAACTCCTCTTTTTTGTTCTTTTTTTTTTTTTTTTTTATAAAGAATACCCACGTAGCGAAACAAAAATTCGGGCATTTAAATCATATAGATAAAGCTCGTTAGTTTAAGTTTTTTATCTTATTAATTATTGTGCGATTGCTTTTTTTTTTTTTTTTTTTTTTTTTTTTATAAAGAATACTCACGTAGCGAAACGAAAATTCGTGCATTTAAATCATATAGATAAAGCTCGTTAGTTTAAGTTATTTATCTTATTAATTATTGTGCGATTGCTTTTTTTTTTTTTTTACACATATTATATATTAAAATATTAAAAAAAATCATGATTCTAAACGAATCACATCAGAATTATGAATCTTGTATTTATACGCTTGAATATAACAAATCACATCAGATTTTAAAAACACATAAAAAAACCCTTATTTATGAGAGAGTTAATGGTATATTGAGATTATCCAGGAATAAAATTAAGTTAAAAAAAAAAAAAAAAAAAAGAGGTAGAATCGCTATTACCGGAAAGAATGCCGGGACTTTCTTGAAACCGTTTATGGTTTTGTTGCTCATTCTTTCATGAAAATATATAAACTAAAATGTATTTAAAATGCAAGTTTAAATGTTTTTTAATTTTCTTTTGAAATGAATAAGGTTTAATTTTTGTAAGAATAATTTTATGATTTGAAAATTTTCATTTTTACCCCTTTCACAGACATTCATTCTCATATGAATACTTTCAATTTTTTTAAAAGGTAATTTTACTGCAGTAACACGCATATAACAATATTTCTTATATTTTTATAGTAAAATAAATAATTTATTATCTAAGTAGTGAACTCTCGTATGTTAAATATAAATGATTATCTTATAAGAAAGTACATAAATTTTTGTAATATATAATAAATATTTAACTTATAAAATGTACATGTTAAATTATTAGTTAAATATTAATAAAAATATATATTATCTTTAAAAATTAAATATTATTTCTCTTCGTATTTTTATATTTATTTAATATTTTAACCGTTAATCTATTTTAATATAACATTTTTATATTTATTTTAAAATTTTAAAAATATTATCAATAGTTAAAAGTAATTTTATATTTTTATCACAATATAAATCATTTATTATTAATATAAAATATAATTTATACGATCAAAACTATGTATTTATTATAACACAATATTTAATAAAAATGTTCATTTATTATAGATTTTAGGTATATAGATTAATTAATTATTATGTATATTATACATACTAAATAATAGTATAATATTAACTATGAAAATGACAGCTAAATTTATATTATTCTTGTTTTATGTCACTTTTATACAAGAAAGTTTGACTTCGTCAACGTAAAATATTTCGTTATAAATTAAAATTTTAAAATAATTAATATAAAATTCAATAATTTTATATATATGATAATCTAAAATTAAATAGTATTAAATATATATATATATATAGAGGATGGTTCAAACGACACCGGTATAACTTTAATTAAGTGTTACACCGCTCAATAACTTTATATTAAATGTGAATTTTGTAAATCCAACCGTTAGATTGAAAGTTCATATCTCTTAGATCATATATATCAAATTTTATATTAATCTAAGATGATTTGATACTTCATTCTCATAAAACAAAATTGACGTAATATATACATTTCAAAATATACTAAAATATGAACACTTATTAAAAAGTTACACCGGTGTCGTTTGAACCCTCCTCATATATATATATATATATATATATAAGGAGAGAGAATTTAAATTAAATAATTTTTATGGTTCTCTATATTTTTATCACATTATTTTTTATTTTATTTTATTGTTTTTGTTTTAGTAGTAGAAAAAAGTGGAGTAAAAGTTGTGTAACAGTAATGGGTTGGAGTAATACAGTAAATAAGAAAAAATGATAAGATGTAGGATGGAATAACAGAAAAATATTAAAGAGAGAGAAAGAGAATTTTGAGGGTATGAGAATAAGAAAGTGTAAGAGCCGGACGCACAGAAACGGACAGCAGCATGGCCGAATGTATCGGGGCTGCTGCTGCTGTGGCTGTGGCTGGTGGCAACTAATAGGTAAACTTGAGAAACACACAACACAACAAGAAATGGAGAGTGACTGAGAGAGAAAATACATGGGACAATAAGGATAGGAATAGGGGGGAAAAACTAAAATAAAAATGAACAACAATATTTGAATTGAAACCTCACTCACTCACGAGATGGCATGGCACAGCAGTAGATTATTGTTAAAGTGTATATACTCATTTAAAATTATGTTCAACAAAAAATATACGTTTTAATACAGAAAAAATAAAAAAAATTGTAAGTGAAATTCTTTTTTTAATAGTTTTCAAACACACCCAAAAAGGTTGAAAATTGGCAAGATTGGATTGGAGCCGTTGGATGAGTCACGAAATGCTAATGCATAGCGGAGAGGCCCAATGCACATCCGTCTGCACTTATTCTGTTTGTGGAATCTGTTCTGAACTCTTGCGGGTCATCTGACAACAATGCCTCTGTAATGCCCCCACTTTTATTTCTCTCACGCCCCAACCCCGGGATCCTACTACCTTCTCAATAATTATTCTTTTACAAATAAAATACTAACGTTTTTTGTCTTTCCAAAATTTTACCACCATTTTAACTCTATTCATTTCTCAGTAAAAATTTCATTATTGATATAAAAAAAATTGTCAACACTTTTATAAAAACGTTTCCTTTAATTTTTTTAAAATTATTTTAATTTCCTCATGCAACGACACTTAAACTCAATCTTCGTGACAAGGAACACCTAAAATTTTCTAGATTTGGTAGTATTTTTCAAGAATTTATTTTTGATTTGTTGGGTTTTTAGGATATTATGGCTACACTACTAATATTAGCGTGAAATTTCATGTTTTCTACAAAGGATCGGAATTGACATAGAGTATGATTATTGTAGTATTGTTTGAGTCATTTACTCGTGACTATGAATTTGATTTTTCATAAAGATGTGAGTTGTCATCTAATGATAACTATTGTCAACCTTATTAGCGCCTTCAGAACAAGATAGTGATAGATTTCATTCCACCATATATATCGAGAGACCAACATATATATAAACTCTTTTGTTTGTTGTGACTTATCTACAATCGATGATTTAGTTATTTGGGCAAATTGTCCTTCTTTCATTAGCTTTTTGTATTGGCGGGTGTCATGAAGATATATTTTTCCTAGAGTTTAGTTGTATTTTTCTTTTTCTTTTCACTAGAGGCACAAGTGGATTAGGTTAGGGGGTTGAATCAATTTGATATCCAATCCAATTAAAATTTAACGTGTTAGGTCGAGTTTGTACATTTTTTAAATTCAACCCAACCCAATTACCAACAAGTTAGATTGGGTTGGGTCAATCGAGTTACACATAATTAATTTTTTATTTTATTTAAAAATTTAAATATTTCAAAATAAATATAAATCATTTTATCTTTTGTTGCAAATGCAATAATATCAATTCACAAAACAAAAAATGATACAAATTAAATTCTAAAATTAATTTGTTACAATGTTATTGGGTCAAATGATCAATATTAATACAAAATAAAGTTTAAAATAAATATATATCGATACAATGTAATCAATTGGAAAACATAAAGTATGTTATTGAACAAGAGTGATAAAGATTATAGTCCTAAGCAAGTGATCATCCAAATACAAACATATTGTTATTATTACTTGGATACAAAAGGCACTTAGTGCCTTTGTGGATTTAAAAAAATAATAAATAATAAAAATTATACAATAGTATGTGATTATTAAAAAATACAAACAGTTATGGGGTAAGATTTACAAAAAATAAAAATAAAAAGTTGTAATTTATAAAAAGGTAAGTTTTAAGAGAAAAATTGTCTAAAAACATGGATAACAAATGAGACAATTTCCTTTATAAATAATATAGATAATTAAAATGTATAATAAATTTTATATATAAATAAATACTATATGTTAATTTATAAATTATAATTAAAAAATTTTATAAATGGATATTTTTAAACATATAAATTGTATTTTAGACATGATAAATAATTTATAGACTAAATTGTACTTTAAGTCCTCTTATAATTATCAACTCATAATTTTAGTCTCTCTTTTTAAATTATTTAATTTTGGTTTCTCAATTTCAAAATTTTGTGATTTGGATCTCTTTGTCAATTAAACCGTGAAATTAATGATGACATAGAGATGTGTCGCTTTGGTGGTGATTCATTTGAATCGATGAAGTGATATTACAATGATTAGTGAAGTCGAAGTATTTTATGTCTTTGTATTTTATTTAAAAAAAATTAAAAGTTAAAAATGTGATTAAGTAATAAAGTCAGTTAAATAATAAAAATAATTAAAAGAGAATGGCATTTACTAAAAAAAATTGATTTTTAATTTTTTTTAATAATAGAGTGAGTAGTTATTAAAAGGTATAATAATTTTTTTAATACTAGTATAAATTATTATTATTATTATTGGTCGGATCGATTCACAGGTTGAAATACAAACTTGTAATCTAATTTGTATAGTGCTGAGTTTTGATTGGATTGAGTCGAATATGACTTGAATACTAAAAAAATTCGATCCAAATTTATTGAGTTAGTTTGGATTTAGAAGTTATTGTTCACTTTCTTGCAACTAAAAAAAGATAGATAAAAAATTATCAGTCTCATTTTTTTATTTTTAAACTGGTATTTTAGTATGTATAATACAAACAATGTATTTTTTTTGGCATCGAACACATCAAGAATCTTTCCATAAGATTTGATAGGTATCAAATATTTGAGTTTTCTGCATTTATAAGAGTTTAAGATTCAAATCCTGACCACTTAATTAAGCGATGTAAGTTCCATGGTAGCGTTAATCCAAATTAGTACTAAATATTTCTTATATATAACAAAAATTTATAACAAATTATATATAAATAAATATTATACTTAGATTTAAATTATAATTAAATTGATTAAGATATGAAGTTATAAAAATTTCTAAAAAGAATTTGTGTAAAATAATTGTGAGGCCCCTTTTCTTTTCTTTCTCCCTCGAACCCTCACTCACTCTCACTTGCACTCTCTTTTGCACTTTGGTTGTTGGTCCTTCTTCCTCTCCAGCCTTAACCTTGTTCAAATTCCTTTCTCTCTAGCTGAAGCCGTGAGTGACCTTGGAGACCCTTCCTTGCAAGCTTGAAGTCGTTCGGAGCTAACCATGTGCGGAGTTCTCTTCCTCTTCTTCTCTTCCCGGAGCTCGGATTCTTGAATCGAGGTAAGGGAAGTTAGAGTGTTGCTGTGGTTTGGCTAAATGTGAGTCAAAGAACTCATTTGATTGCAGAGGATTTATGATTTTTGGCTGAGAATTTCTGAAGATGGGAATTTGGGGTTTTCGGGGTCTTTGAGAAATTTTGGGGAATCCTTGATTTGTTGTTGCATGTGCAGAAAGATGGTATTTTGAGCTGTTGGTTGAAAATATGGTACTTTGAACCGTTTGCATGTGGATTTTTTTGTTGATTTTTGCAGGATTTGGTAAAATTTTCGAACTTAGTGGGTTGCAGCTGAGCTGCGCGCTGGGCGCTGTTCTTCGTGCCGGGCACGAGACCACCTGGAGGCTCCTTTTAGGCAAGCCCGCCGGGCGCAAGGATGAATGCGCCGGGAGAGCTTGAGAAGGTGAGCCTCTGGATGGCCCACGCCGGACAGGACTTAGACCGCGCCGGGCGCGATATCAGTGGGTGATATGACTTTGGGCTTTCTGGTGCTGTGCCGGGCACGACCATTGTCGCGCTGGGCGCGAAGGCTCCTTGGGAGTCTCTGCCTTGGGGGTGCCGGTACAATTAGAATTGCGCTGGGCGCGAGACCTTGGTTTGTCTCTGCCTTCCCCACGCTGGGCGCGGGTTAGGCCACGCTTGGCGCGTGAGACTCCTTGGAGTCTCTGCTTGGACATGCGCTGGGCGCAATTTGGTATTGCGACAGGCGCGTGAGAGCCTTGAGCTCTCTGGCTGGGTCACACCGGGCGCGGGCACTCTTGCGCCGGGCGCGGTGACCCCTGGTGCTCTCTGGTTGCGCCACGCCGGGCGCGACTATGAGTGCGCCGGGCGCGTATGATGTTGTTGAATTATGCTGAAAATTTGCTGATAAATATTGTTTATGCTGTACTAAGTTGTAATTAATGAATATGCTGAAATGACTAGATGATAGTGCTGAATATTGAGGTTAGGTTGTGATAGATGTATATTGCTGTGCTGAACTGGGCTGTGATTGGTGATTTTAAATGCTGAAATATAGTATTGTTGTACTATAGAATGTTGAGCTGAGTTGTGAGTAGTAAGCTGTGTTGAATACTACTTGGCTGTGCTGTATGCTGATTTGTTGTGCTGTGTTGTGAGCTGTGTTAGCTGAGTTGTATGTTGATCATTAGCCACTATTGTGGTGCTGTTCTAGCCGCTATGTCGGTGCTATTATTAGCCACTATTGTGGTGCTATTCTAGTCGCTATGTCGGTGTTGTTATTGCCGCTATGCGGTGCTGTTATAGCCACTTGAGTGATGCTATTATTGCTTCTACGCAGTGCTGATATTGCCGCTTTGCGGTGCTGATATTTTTGAAAGCTGTGGTGTAATATTTAGCTGTGCTGGTGTGCTGATAGATGTAGCTATTTACTAATCATATTGCTATATATGTATGTTGATTTCTTTTCACTAGCTTACCCTTGGTTGTTTTCATGGTATTTGGACGCTAGTGGCAAGACTGCGGATGGCAGATAGGGCTGAATTCCTTATGTTTTGATGATTTATAGCTACTTGGTGTAGTAGCATTTGATGTATTTTTGTACACTTTAACTCTATTCAGACTTGGACCTTGTATATGTATATATTCTAGACCCTATATGTATACACTTGTTCCTTTCTGTGTAGTATTTCTAGTGTGCTACGCAGTGTGTAGTGACCAGCTAGGTCGTTACAATAATCATTCATATGAATATAAATTATATATTTTTTATAAAAGAATAAAATACTTATTTCAAATCAAAGTATTTTTAGAGATTATTTTTGAACTAAACAAAAATATTGATTTTCTTAATGCAGTGATTAAGGGGGGGGAGGTTTCTCAACCCCTCACATTTCAATTTTTTTTTATATATTTTAAATTGTATTTATTGAATTTTAATATTTTAAAAGATTATTAATAATAAATAATAATCTTATATTATGATATAAATTATTTATAATAAATATAAAATATAATTTATATATTTAAATTTATTCATTAATTGTTTAATTATAATATAATTTATTTATTTATTACATTTTAAAGATATATAATTAAAACATTTATATAATACATTTCTTATACTAAAATACGATTTATTATATAAAAGATAGATTTTATATAATTTTTAAAAGGAATAATGTAAAAAAAAAAAAGTTAAAATTATATTAAAAATAATGTCAAATTTTATTATGTAATTTTAACATAAATGTAATATTATCATCTATATATATTGCCTTGAAGATATGGAGACATTACTTGTATGGTGCTCAGTTCAGTGTCTTCAGCGATCACAAGAGTCTGAAGTACTTGTTTGATCAGAAGGAGCTGAACATGAGGCAGAGGCGGTGGATGAAATTTTTGAAGGATTATGATTTCCAGTTGATGTATCATCCTGGTAAGGCCAATGTTGTGGCGGATGCGCTAAGTAGGAAATCCATCCACATATCTAGTATGATGGTGAGGGAGTTGGAGCTGGTTGAGAAGTTCAAAGATCTGAATCTCTGTGTGGAGTTAGCTCAGGACCACATTAGTTGTTCATATAATTTCGTACTATTTATTGCGCGTCAAATATTAAATAATATAATAAATTTATCAAGGTCTTATCCTATTATACTCTTATTCAATTTGCATATCTTATTCTTATTGCTGTCAAAAGAAATTGTATATCTTATTTTATGTTATAACTACCAAATAAACTTTCAAAGTTGTTTGCAATGGTTTTAAAAAATAAAGCTTCAATATTAGGGAAAATAAACAAGCTATTAGTTAAAAACTACTTAAAATATATTAATATAATGAATAGGACTTTCCTGTAATAAAAGCGTATCATAATTTGTGCAATAAAATAAAATTACAGGAGAGGTGAATTTAGTATAATAAGATGTATGTTAGATAATACAATGTGTCTTATAATTTTATTTCAGCAGTTTGCTTAAACTTTTTTCTTATAAAATTGTTTTTTATAATAAAATAAACATTATTTTTTATGGCAAGGATTCCGGTCTCAAAAAGTATAAAAGAAAACCAAAAAAAATAGTAAAGAAATGGTTTGGTAAACACCTTACACTTGGGAAAATAATATTCTAGATCATCTTGTATTTAAAATAGTGATAAATGGTTCTTTGACCTTTCGCATAAGATTTTGAATCTCAAAATTAGTATAGTTGTAAAGTTTATTATTATATTCACGAAGGGACAAAACAATGAAATTATAACTTGTAAATAATTTTTTTATATTAGATTAAGATGTTATTAAAAGTGTCGGGGAAAGATATTTTAGTTCGTGTATTTATTAAAAATAAAATAAAATAATAAAAATATATTAATTTAATTGATATTATAATTATTAATTTAAATTTTTTAAATTTGATTAAAAATATTATTTTTTAATAACTTTTTACTTAGTAAAATGATTAAAAAAAGTATTTATTTTATATATTAATATGGATAAGAATAAAAATAATGGGTATGAAATTAAGAATTTATTTTGAAGGTGTTGAAACCGGAAACAATCTTAGATGTTCTAGAAAAAAAAGAAAGAGAAAAAAAAAAAAAAAAAAAAAGAATAGTCTGGTTAGAAAATGTATGAAAGTATTGACTTTTGGGCGGCGTGGAACAATTAATTATAAAAGAAATGAAAAATAGAGTTAGAGGAGGAGAGAGAAGATGGAGAAAAAAGAGGAAGAGGTGGAGGGTGTGGCAGGGTATTACGGTGGAGAAAACGAATACCAAAGAGGAGTGATTCCTCCTAACGCGGTGGTGGGAGTTCCCAAGGGCATCCCCATCCAACAGACTATTTACAGGGACACTCCTGCTCCATTCAACTGTCCTTATTGCGGTACAACCGGTCTCACAACCCTCAGGTAGGTTTTCGATCCGATTTCTATTAATAATCGATTTCACCCTTAGCCTTGTCAGTTGTGACTGCTCCATTCAATTGCTTTGACCAGATCAAAGCCCAGTCTGGCAGCTTTTGTTGGATGCTTGATACCGATGATGCTTGGCGTTTGCTTTCTTTGCCCTTCAATGGACTGCCTTTGGCATAAATATCACTACTGTCCTAATCCTAAATGTCAACAAAAGGTAACACTGCTATCCTAATCCTACTACTTCCATTCCTCCTCAATACCATTGCAACTCAATGCCTTTATTCTTATCTTCATCTCTAGGTTGCTGAGTTTCAGAAATCAGATCCCTGTGCTGTCATGGACCCAGTACACTGGACACAGGAGAGCTTTGCATTCTCATCATAATTCTGTTACTGCTATTTTCTACCTTGTTAAGTCTCTAAACAATTTAATTATCTCTTGCATGTTTGTTAATATTATTATACTGTAAGGAGAATCTGCGTGCTTTGTTTTCTCCTAGATAACAAAGTAGTTGGATGGTGTTGTTTATGTTTGGTGGTCATGAGGAGGAGATATTCAACTTCTCATATCATGTTAATTTACTCAATACATATTACCTTTGAATATGATACAATCCAAGTGCCATTTTCTACCTTTTGCATACCTATAAGTAATTTTTGTATATTTCTACTTTCTACTATCAAATACTCCATTTCTTCATTTACAATAGATATTTAGCTATTAAATAACGAAAAAAAGTTATATTAAAGTTTGGTAACCTTTTTTTAAAATAACCATTAAGAAATAAGAAAACGAAATTCTCTTAAAAAATATTATTTGTTGGCTATTGTAGGCAATTTTTATTTCACTGCCTATTGTTTCGTTCAAAATATTTTTGTTTTGGGCTCTCCTTTAATACTAATTAATAGGTTATACTACGTCGAACATTTTGTTTCCCTCTTCTTGGCGAGGTAGACTTGGTCCTCGAGGCGCTGGAGGTTCTTGATAGCATCAAGGCCAAGGGTGACGACATTTCAGATGTCGAGGGACTTGATGGAAGTGTGTATTTTATTGATAATCGTTGGTGGCTACATAGCCTTACAGAAAACTGAAGAGAAAAATCAGCCCACTAAACATAATAGTGGCAACAGCTATGAAAGAAATTAAAAAACTAACGATTCTAAATAATAGGATTTTATTCTAAAAATTATGCAACATTCCTAAAAAACCAGTAATCACTTCCAACAATCCATCCTTGAACTTTTTGCTATTGACAGACAATTAGTTCATCTCTGGAACTGTACACACTCCTAATGCTTCAGGGAACTTCCTAATAACTTCCAACTTTAACGGCCAACAAATAATAAGATCGATTATGTAAAATAGGCAGTGAAATAAAAATTGCCTATTGTTTAACATCTCTAAGGAAGTGAAATCGCACATCTTTGTGTTTAGATCGATTATGTAATACTAGATTTTTGGAGAGCTTAATAGCAGAACCCATATCACAATTCACTTCGGCGCTTTCTTTTGTGAATGACCAAGTTCCTTCAACACTCTTATCATTCAAATTGTTTGACATGCACAAGCTATTGCTGCCACAAATTCAGGCTCAGTTGTAGATAAAGTAACAATTGGTTATTTTCTTGATGACCAGGCAACTGCACCTTCACTCATCATAAACACATAGCCAAAAGTGTTTTTCTGATCTCCAACATCACCTGCATAATCACTATTTGTGAAGGCTAGCAAATTATCAACTCTTCCTCTCTTGTACAAGATTCCATAGTTCATGGTTCATTTTAGATATCTAAATGTTGTTTTTGCTGTTTACAAATGCAACTCAGTTGGATTGGACATAAAACGACAAATTAGACTTACAATGAACATGAGATTTGGTCTTGTTGCTGTAACATATATTAGGCTTCCCACAATTTGTTTGAAATAAATTTCATCAACTTTGACTCCTTTCTCTTCCTTGTATAATTCGCATCCTAGAATCATGGGATTTCAAATTAAATTCCACTCCTTCATGTCAAACCAATTTAATACTTCAACTACATATTTTCTCTGACATACAAAATTGCCATATGGTCTTTGTAAAACCTCAATTCCAAAGAATAATCCCATTCCCTCAAGTCACTCATATCAAATTATTTTTTCATAGAACACTTAAATTCACACATCATATTTTCATCATCACCATCATCATCGGTGAATAAAATATTATCATCGTAAGTACTAACAATGCGAACCTTACCCTCCTTGCTTCATTTTTGATAAATAAAATTTGTTCATTATGATTCTTTTGAAATCCTTTCTTCATGAGATAAGACTCAATTCTACTAAACCAAACTCTCGGAGTTTGTTTTAGTTTGTAAAGTGCCTTATGCAATTTATACACATGTTGTTCACTTCCTTTCTTTTCATACCCTTTTGGTTACTCCACATAAACTTCTTCACTTGACACTCCATGTAAAAAAGCATACTTGACATCTAGTTGATAGAGTTTCCAACCCTTATTTGAAACAATTGCTTTAATCATTTTCACAATATCCATTCTAGCAATAGGTGCAAACACTTCTTTATAATTCACTCTATGTTGTTGCAAATAACCTTTAATCACTAGCCTTGCTTTGTATTTGTTGATCTTTCCAAGCTCATTTAGTTTAGTCTTATAAACCCATTTTACTCCTATATTTTTTTTCCTAATCGGTAACTCTACTAACTTCCAAGTTTGATTTCTCTCGATGGATTTGACCTCTTCATCCATGGTCATACATGATAGTTACAGTCGTCTCACTATCAAATTAAACTAGTTTTCTCTAGAAATTTTGTAATATAGGGAATCTAGGTCAGAATCCAAAATCCAAAATCCAAAATCATAGAACACAAATCTTGACATGCAACTTAGCTAGGGGAGTTTTGACAAACAATTTAAAGGTAATTAAATTAGAAACAGAAAGTAGACAGAAATTTTAATAAAAAATTCCAATCAAAAAATGCATCGATTCAAGATTTTAATTCTTACGGTAAAATTTTTACAGTTTCAAATTATAATTTGAATTCTCTTAATTCTAGATCAACATAAATGCAATCCGAAACTAAATCTAAATCTAGATTTACTGAGTTTCATAGAAACATAGGATGCAATCACAATCAAATAATTTCTGTAAAATTTAGATCGGTAAACTGTTGATTTAGGATTATTAGTTAATTTAGGATTTAAATCTAAATCCAATATCTATTCAATTCTAAATATAAAATGAAATTTATAATCATTGAATGAATCAGCAACACATTTCAATCAAAACACTCCAGCAATTCATCTTTAGAGATAGAAAAATTTGTGTGTGTGTGAGAGAGAGAAGGAGAGAATCTGAAAAGTCAAAAAAGCTTGAGAGAAAATTTAGACAAACTTCTAAGAGAAGTAATCTCAAATCTGAAAAATGAAGTAAGTTCTCTTAGTGCACGTGAGTTATATTTACTTATAGACTAAAATAATGGGCCTAATCTAAATAATTAAAGACTTAGCCCACTAATTAGCTAATTAAAACACTAAACACAAGTTAATAATACAATCTAAAAACAAATAGAAAATACTGCACAGGGCTGTAACCTTGCAACACATTTTGGGGTCCTTTAATAACTGAACTGGCCTTTGCTCTCAACAAAGAAATTGTAGAACTCTCTTTTATCTTTCCATAGACACCTAGAACGTACAAATTCGATATTAAGAGCTCTAGATATAGTCTGTACAAGAACAAAGTATAAAAGCGGATAAAAATCCAAAAATTGAGTAAAAATTACAACAATCATCAAATAAAACCACTATCATAATCTAAGCCAAAAATGAATAAAAGACACATACAAAGGTTAAAAAGGCAAAATAAATGGATACAAAGTTGTTTCTCAAAATGCACCCTCAATACGCCATTTCGAGCACTTTATTGCTTCCTCAACTTATTAGATCTGTAGATATAATAAAGGCCATGTTCATTTTTCGTTTTTCTTATTCTGATAAACCATCATATGAAACATAATCATTCATCAACAATGGAGGGTGTCTATCTCTCCCCTCCTTACCATTCATGCCTTCTCTATTAGTGGTACTAAAAGAGTCACATTCAACTTTAGTTTCATTTGTTCCAAATTCTTCTCCTGTATTCTCTTCATATTCTTCTTTATTTACACTATCATTCCATTCTTTGTCCATCAACATCGCATTTTCATAGCTTGCATCCCAATTTCATTTACTTTCTTCCTTAAAATTTAGGTCTTGACTCACAATGATTTTTTTTAGCAATGGGATCATACAATTTGTATCCTTTGGACTTATCACTAACACCGAGACGCACACACCTCATACTTTTGTCTTTGTGCTTTTTTCTCACAACTTCTTGTATATGAACATGCCCAACACATCCAAACACTCTAAAACGATCCACAAATGGCTTTTGACCACTTCAGGCCTCTTCTAGACTAAACTTCTTAACAATTAGTGCAGGTGATCGATTAAAAACACACATTTTCCTATCTCATTGCCTCAAGCCAAAAGGTCTTGGGCATTCTTTTTTTTTCTTCTAAAAGCATTCATCTCATAAGATCCATCACAGTCATGTGCTCGGTTACTTCCTTTTGTAGGGGTGTTTGTCATAATTAGTTGCCTTTTATCCCATTATGCCTACCAAACTCATTGAAGTCCATGGAATTAAACTTTCCACCTCTTTTTGTAGATAAACACTTAACACTTCATTTTCCAAAACCACCTTGAAACACTTAAGGAAATAAAATGTGTTTAATTTTTCTAATAAAAACATGATCATTTCTTTCTAGAATAATCATCTATAAAGCATAGTATGTACATCTTATTACTATTAGAAATTGGAGTAATAGGGTTGCAAATGTCTACATGGACTAATTGTAATCTCTAAGTCGATCTCCATTAACTTTTCTTTGGAATTGAGTCACGATGTTGCTTGTTTATCATACAATCAGTACACACTACTATAGAGTTTGGTAAATTTGGTAGGCCTTTAACCATTCATTTTGACAATAACATCTTTAGTCTCTTGTGGCTAAGATGAGCATATCAACAATGCCATCGCTGAGTGATATTTTGTGTAGTAATGTTGAAGTAAGATTCCCTTTGAACTTGAACCTGAGTTAACCACACAAGCGTTCTGTTTGTTGTCATATTTGTCTAAATAATCAAACCTTTGTGAGGATGATATATTTGACAATCCTTGATTGAATTACAAAGGTGATACATACAACAATCCTTGATTGAATTATAATGGCCAAACCTTGTTCTTGTAATTGGCATAAAATCAAGAGATTATTTTTGAGTTCAGGTATATAAAAACTCTAGTTATCGCAAGTGTTATTCCATTTACATTCAACTTCACATTCTTCTTTCAAAGTACATTCATCTTAGTATTCACTGTCGCCACCGGCCCGAAACGGGCTTTCGGCATTCGCGAAGGATGGTTGGACTCTTTTATTTGTTTAAAAATATGGATTGCTAGAATGACTTATTCTCAAACTGAGACCTTGTCAAACGAGCAATTTTATTAAAAGGCTCACCAATCCATGTTAATCCCAAGCGGGACCCTCCATGGATTAGCGGTTTTC